AAGTTGTAAAACAAAAAGAATATGGTGCCAAAGTTGATATTTGGTCTCTTGGTATTATGGCTATCGAAATGATTGAGAATGAGCCACCATATTTAGATGAAGAACCACTTAAAGCGTTATATTTGATTGCTACAAATGGTACTCCCACTTTGAAAAAGCCCGAAAAATTATCACGTGAATTAAAAAGTTTCCTTGCTGTCTGCCTTTGTGTAGATGTTAAGAGTAGAGCAACCTCATTGGAACTTTTAGAGGTTTGTAATCTTTAATTTATTTTTATTTTCTAATTTCTTTTCATATTATATCATGATCATTGATTAACGTATCTTTGATTTTCTTAGCATGACTTTCTTAAAAAAGCCTGTCCACTATCAGATCTTGCTCCTTTACTCAAATTTAAGACCGCTAAGGATGGCAGGTCGTGAAGCTTAATATTATCATATTTAAATTCTTTTTTAGCTTTACATGATGTTATAGAAAATTTCAATTATATTTATACACAAATTCTGGTTTTATGAGTTATACATAGGTTATTTCTCATTTCAATAATGGTGGCATAGATACTCTCTTATTTGGTAATTTTTTGATGGCTATTTAATCTTGATATTGATTTTGTGTACAGTACATTTCTTAGTACTTGATGCCGTACATCGTAGCAGGTAGATGGTGATGTTGTATATATTTTTATATACCTTTTGTTCATTACTGAAACCTTGGTCTTAAAAAAAGTTTTCTATTTATACAATATTTTATATAAATACAAACCCATTATTCATTTTATACATTATAATATTATAATACTGCTTAATAGAAACTACAGTATCTAATAATAAAAAACTCCAAAATTATTTAAAATTTGTTTATTTTTTTCTTTTCTTTGTATACTTAATTAGGTTATATTGTTTAACTAATAAAATAAATCTCAAAATTATAAAAGTCCGATCAGATGAATAGTACACTGTAAATAACTGGTCACCTTTCAAAGAAATGCGCACGGGAAAAAAATTGGGCATGCCCCTGAGCTAAGGCATGCCCCTCATGCCCATGGGCATGCCCTTTTTAAATCATGTGATTAACATATAGTTCACAACTTCTTAAAAATCTCGCATGTTGATTTAGTATCTACGGTTCTAGTTTTACCTGAACTTATTAGCCAATTAAAATAACTTTGAACATCACATGACAAGGGCATGCCCTTTGGACGGACGGTCTACGGGCACGTACCAAATCACGTGATTGGGCACGTACGGTAATATCACGTGATCGAAATATTGATCAT